ACAAGAAAGCCTCGGCACGCAACACACTGTCCGTGCTCACAGGTAAACAATCATAAAGGAATAAACAATCGTGACAGTGGAATAAAACATCATACAAACGGGACTATATTATAGTTCCTGACCCTGACCACATTATGCCGTGTGGCATTTTAGCAAATAAGACACACGCATAACAAACAAACAAACTGAAAAAACAAAAAGGCTGTGCTGATATCATGCTGACTGACAAAATTGTGAAGTTGATTCTGCTGTTCACCTAGATGGCATGGTGCCAAATCATTGAAACACCCTCCAAGTTGAAGTTTTCTGTTGGTTTGCTGCCTCTTTACCAAAGCACCATCCTCTGATTAGGACAAAGACACGTTGTGGGAGAGAGCCAGGGATTAATAATAACTAATGATTAAATGCAGAGTGGTGTACAAACACATAGTGAATGAAACAATGTGAGTGAAAAAGAAACACTCAGCCTAGACCCATTGCAGCATAACTAAGGGAGGATTTAGGGTCACCGGCCCTGACTATAAACTTAAAAAGGAGCGTTTTAAGCCTGTAGAGAGGGAGTCTGTCTCCTGAATCTAAACTGGGAGCAGGTTCCACAGAAGAGGAGCCTGGAAGCTGAAAGCTCTGCCTCCCATTCTACTTTTAAATAGCATGAATCAAATGGTTTAATTAATTAATCATTTAACAGGTGAATGCTACTAATATAAACAGGTGTCTGTTCAAAATGATTCCCTTACTAACCTCAGAATTTAAAGTATAAGCTTGCCCTTTAGTGTGTTATCATTTTGTTGATAACTTTTTATGACTCAAACATATTGACTTGCTTTACACCCTTGTTGATTAGACAGTGTGGTTGCAACATTGCCACTGAGTGAATGACTTAATTAGTTACACATTTTTATGAGGGAACTTTTAGAAGTTTTAGAGTCCCGATGGCTGAAATCCAGGTATTCTGAAAGGTAGCAGGAAAACTGATATGAGTTTAATGTTCAGGAGAGTGACATTTGATCCACCTCATGGCAGTTAAACCTGCACGTGCGCAGCCAGCACACCATTAAAAGTATTTGTGGACATGTGAAGTAAAGATTGAGGGGGCACTGTTTATACTGTTTTCCTGAAAAAGAGAGGATTGTCTGTATTGAAACATTTTAAATCAAATGCTGGTGGCTCTAAAGTGCAAAGTTTGATGTAGGAACAATATTAAATCAGTGCAGTCACTGTTCTTAATTGTTTTCCTTTGGTTTCTCCCTTCACTGAGAGCCAGTAAAAGGATGCATTGTCATATGAAGAGGTCACTTAACTCTATGATTTAATTATTTGTAATACACCTGACACCAGGTATTGAGTGTACAATTTAGAAGTATATGTTTCATTTTAATGTACAAAAATCCAGCTCATTTGTATACGGCTAAATGAGATTTAGCCTGTAGCACGACTAAAACATAGTGTGAGTGTGTATGCATGCATAAAGTCTGTTTGTGGGATAGAAAAGAAAGTAATATAAGGTGATACGATCGCACTGATCTGATACTGCCTTGATGTCTTACTCAGCAACATATTGTGCTGATCTGCTCTTACTGGGTTTCATTCTTTCACCTTCATATTTGGACTTTTAACTTCTCAAGCACAAACCTTCTCTTGCCAAAATAATTGTCACGCATTCATGTTTACATAGAAATTGAAATAAATCCAAATATTCGCTAGTTGAAATGAAAAGATACAAACTGATGCTTTT